AAGGGCTACTGATTTGATTTTTGTTCTTGATAAAATGGGAGACATAAAATTGCGAGGAGGTAATATGCAAGAAGGCTTCAAAAACTGCTGTAATGTAACATTTTTGTCTTGCATTTTACCCCCATCAGATTAGTAGGCTTGTTGGAGTAAATTGCACTATCTATCACTAAATTGCACTATCTGCAAAAAATTTACAGACATATATTTTGAAACTCTAAATTAAATTTGTTTTGTTTTTATGTAGCCACAGGCGATAAACATACATTTATCAAATCCAGTGAATCTGATGTTCTAGCTTTACTGCACCTGAAATTTGTTGATGAGTGAACAGCTTCTTTCAATTGTGTGGGTTTTGAATACCACCTGGTTCTAAACAGCCTGAAAAAACACATTCAAAATTTTCTATTTTTATATGCTTTTATTTAACTTGCTTCCTCTGTCATCAGTCTGTCTGTCTAGATCAAAATGCCAGAGCGGAATTTCGGATACTTCTAACTGACAGATTTGTTTCAACCTTGGCACATGGGTCAAGACATGAAGACTTAATTGGTTGCCTAATTGATGTTTTAAGAATTAATTAAAATTGTGTCCAAATTAGTAGGCTGTTTCATCAATTTATTTCGCATTGTTAGATATGCATCATCACGTTCATTAGGTGCGCAATGGTTTTCAGTCATGCAACTCTTTTGTAAATTTAAAACATTTAAAATACTGAAAAAAAATTCATAAAAAACATTTTAATAACAAGCTTTTATGTAATTATGCACTAAAAAAAGTAGAAAATAAATTATACACTACTATTAATTATACACTAGTTTCTTGTCTTTAGAGATGCATGTTTTAATTTCAGTGAAGCAGTCACCTTCATAATTGACTATGCTGCATAACTATGTGAAATATTTTACTTCATGTACTTTTATGTTGTTTATTTTCATAGGTTTTTGACTAGATGTAATTTGCTTCATAACTTTGGTTTTGTAAATGTTTAGTTTGAGCCCAACTAAATAAATAAGTCTGTTTAGTTTTTATTTCATATCTTTTTGACTGCTGGCTAGTAGACTTAAGTCGTCTGCAAAATCCAGATCTTCTAGGCTAGTTGTTTGTGTTCATTGGATGCCTCTCGCTTTGTCTATAGTTTGTGTCATCAGCCAATCAATCACTAAGTTAAAAGCAGTGGGGACAGAACACACCCTTGTTTAACTCCAGTCTGAACCATAAATGGGTCAGTGATATGGCTACCACATATAACTTTGCAAAGGAACCCTTCATATATGATTTTGATGGCATTTATGAACTTTTCTGAAAAACCCCTTTTTCATAGGTTTTCCTCACATGCATGGCTTATGTGAACTCACAATGACCCCAAGACGTTTTTCATTTTACTTGGTTTAAGAAAAAACTAAACTGATGTTACTGAAGTTAATTCTGCAGATAGGTCTCTCATTTTCTTCTCGCATTTTACCGCCTAGCAATTTTGTGCTTTGGGTTTTGCACATTACCACGGCCCTTTGTTTTGGTGAATACAGATTTAATTTATTAAAAAACTTATTAATTTTAATTAATTAAAATTTTAATTTATTAAAAAACACATTTTAATTTAATATTTACTTGCTGTTTTAGGCCTACAGTTTAACAACTTTATAATATCTTGGTTTTTATAAATATGTCTTTATTCAGGGCTGATTTTCATAAAGAGATTAAGATCATGTCACAGTTGAAGGACTTGAACATTGTTAGAGTTCTTGGTGTTTGTACAAGAGAGGAGCCTTTGTGTATGGTTGTTGAATACATGAAATATGGAGACCTTAATCAATTTCTTATTGATCATGAACCTGAAAGCCCAATAGCTCAAGCAACCAATGTAAAAACTCTCAGGTATGTTAGTGAATTTAAAAAAAAAATATATCTGCACAAAAAATGATTCTGTAATATTACAAACTAAGTAGGTATATTCCAGTTTTAATATGTCATTTCATTTTTATTAAATTAAAATTAGTCCTGATCTAAAATTATGTACGTTTTTCTTGTCTTACCCTATGCCCTTAAATTTTATATTTAATTTCCATTTTTACTTTCTTGTATACAGAGAATAGATAAAGTGCTGTAATACTGCACAAAAATTAAATGAGATGTTAATAGTTTTTGCCATTCCTAATCTCCCCACATTATCATAGGTAGAATATAAAGGATGTATGGGGTCGTCCATAAATGACGTCTCACTCGTAGGTGGAGGGGGATCCGTAATTTTATGACAGTGTGTGATGAGAGAGAGGGGGTTCAGATGGTGTGACCTCACTTATTTGCATTATAAAAAAGCAATGTTAGAAAACGAGTTTTAGCCGTCATTTCGCATTTTATAAAATGGTTTTAATAAATTGTAATAGGAATTGATCAAAATACTCTATGTTGAGTTCTGACAAGATTTTGGAAAAATGTCGATGTTTTAAGAAAAATTCAACTGCAATTTTGAGGGGGGTTGTAAGCTGAGGTGTGACATCATTTTAGGGAATAAACTCGTATTTATATATATGTTTGTGTGTATCTTTTAATATACACATTCATACATATATATATATATATATGCATACATACATACATGTATATATACATATATATACACATCTATATTCATATAAATAAACAGATAGATATAAAAATAATTTTTTTCCTTAGCTACGGCTGTCTTATTTACATGGCATCCCAAATTTCTTCTGGTATGAAGTATTTGGAATCTTTGAATATGGTTCATCGGGACTTGGCAACACGAAACTGTCTTGTTGGACATCATTTTCTAATTAAAATATCTGATTTTGGCATGAGCCGTAGTTTGTATAGTTCAGACTACTACAGAATTGAAGGGAGAGCAGTCTTACCTATTAGATGGATGGCTTGGGAAAGCATTTTGCTCGTAAGTCTGACTTCAATACTTTTTTAACCTACACAATGTTTTTCTATTTGTAGTTTTATAATTGAATTCTAAATACAAGAAATGAGTGGTTTATTTATTTTTCAGGGAAAATTCACTACTAAAAGTGATGTTTGGTCCTTTGCTGTTACTCTCTGGGAAATTCTCACATTTGCACGTGAACAGCCATTTATAGCCCTGACAGATGAACAAGTTATCGAGAATGCTGGTCATTGTTATCGTGATGACAATCTACAAACAGTTTTAACAATGCCAATCAACTGTCCTAAAGAGATTTATGATTTAATGTGTGAGTGTTGGAATCGTCAAGAAAGTGTGAGGCCAACTTTCAGGGAAATTCATATGTTTCTTCAAAGAAAAAATATGGGTTATAATCCAGCAGATGAAGAATTGAGTCAAATAACTGTACCCATTTGCTAATACTGTTAAATTCAAATATATATGTATATATACACATCTATATTCATATAAATAAACAGATAGATATAAAAATAATTTTTTTCCTTAGCTACGGCTGTCTTATTTGGTGCTTGTAAACTCTTCTTGATATTTGCTTAGTTTGCATATATATATTTTTTATATTTTCATAACAATGAATTTCAAAACAACTAATTACACTTAAAAGAGTGAATTTGTATTAAGTGAAATCAAAAGTCCTTTTAAAAAAAAAATGTATTCCAAGTTGTGGGGTGGCATGGTTGGGGGTAGAGTGCTCAATTACTAGTTTCAAGTTCAGATCTTGGCCTTTATCCTGTAAAACATCCTTGCGTCCACCCAGCTCTAATGAATATATGACTTAAATTAGGGAAAGTAAATGCCGCTGGGTATAGTGCTAACCACACGACCCCACCTTATGACATGCCAAGAAACCAATGAACCGTACTTCATTTGCCCTGTTGATCGGCAGGTCTGCAAGGGGAAGTTTTTAAAATTCTTAGTCAACAAAGTGGTCAGCCATAGGAAATGTAAAAGCTGGACTAATACCAGCTAGACTTCTTTTTAACTATTTATAGCACATCTACTTTTATAATTTCAAGTCTGTGTTTTGATTCTTGATCTTAAAAGTGATGCTATAATTTTAGTAGAAAAACAGATTTTGTGAACTACAGCAAGATACTTTATTTAAAATGAATTTACGAAGTTCAGTATTTATGTTATGTAACAAATATATAAATATGTGTTAGTCAAATGAAGTAAAATTTTGATATTATATGATGTGATGAAATTACAAATAAGATATGTAACTAACATCGACCCCTTATATTATTACCTCATATTCTGCTATAAAAAGTTTTTTTAACATTTCATCCATGAACAAAACAAAATGTAATCCTTGTAAGTTGTACTAAATTTATATTACTGTTCCAACAAATATTTTGTCCAGATATTATTAACTATGTTTTAATTCATTTTAATTTAAAATGTTATTTGTGTTGTATTTAAATTAAATTTTTCTCTATGAATTTTTACTCACTAATATTGTAGCTTTTCATTTACATTACCATAAAATTGAACCTATATTTGATAATTTATAAATGATGTGGCAAAGAATACTTAGTGTTTAATAATCCTACGTGTCTATCGTCATTTTTGTTGAATAAGCTAAGCATCTTTTAAACTATAGCTTAGAATAATATACATATATGTTTTAAAAAAAAATTGATGATTTCTTTGATCAAGTTTAGGTCTCTTTATTTCTCCATGAACTGCTAATCTATTAAATAAATATTTTTTAAGTTTATTATTTTCATCTGGTTAACTTAAAACGTTATCCAGAAACCTGTTTTTCTATTATGTATAAATACATAATTTTAAATTCTATTGTATGAAATTCTCTTTTGAACTATTTAAACTATTCAAGTAATTTACGTCTAGACTTTTCTACACCAAGAATACTCTTAGTAGTTTTTTACCAAGTTTGATTTATAATTCTCAAATCATAAATTAATGCAATATCTCAAATTGTTTTTAAATATGAAAGAATTGCATTAAAAATAGACTTTTTTTATAACCCAATTTTTTTTTATTATGTTCATTTAGAATAACTTATAAATATTTTTTAATATTTGATGAATTGATTTGCATCGCCGATTCATGCTCATAAAATTACACTAAGTGATTCCATTCATTTGTATATTTTAGCAAAAGTGTATATATTAAAATAATGTAAATAAAGATATACTTATTGCCAGACATGGCATTTAATTTATAAACTATTATAATTGTTCATGATTGTTTAAGTAATAACATTTTCTAGATCAAACTTTTAAATGGAATCGCAATGCAATAAATTGCACTGATTCACAAAATACATAATTTTGTAAAATAACAGGGATTAACAAAAGTTTGCAGGATTCAGTTCTTAAATTTATAATGCGCAATATATATATATATATATATATATATATATATATATATATATATATATATATATACATATATATATATAATATGATTGAGTATATAATTTAAAAGCATCTTATTATTTTTAAAATCGTATAGCTTAAAAATTATTTTCATTTTTATTATTTTAAACACCAGTGTTATAACATTTTGTAGATATATATATATTTACCTCAAGTTACTGAAGCAAGGTGCTATTCTTCATTCAACTAATATAGATCTGCAAAAATGTGTTTGTCTTACTTTTTCTCAATATTTATAGGTATGTTTTTACAAAAGTAGTTTTCATGGTCCTTTTGTCCCATTTTGAAGTTTTCCATCTGCTCAAATTCTAGTTTTTCATTGCTTGATTTTTTCTTTAATTAAAGTCTTTAAATTAGTTTAGTGTCGAGGTACAGTGAAAGATTTATTTAAATCCTTTTTTTAATCTACCTAACTACCAACCGACCTATCTATCTTAGTACGATGTACAAGGGGAGGAAGGAAGGTCTTGTTAAAACTTTTTAGGTCCAAACTACACTTTCAATATGAGTTTTCCCTGTGTTCAGTGGGGTGGAAGATAACCCTGATGATAACCAATATAACAGAAGCGACTGATACACTGCAATCAAACCAATATCCCAGCAAGTTAGTTGAAGTTTGCGGTGTTGAGGCCTGCCTGGCCAATGGGAGACGCCTCCTGAGCCAGTGATGTCCATAAAGAAAGAAAGAAAAAATCTATCTACCAATGGATGTATTAATCTATCCTGTCTAATCTACATATATATATAAAGTTTCTTTGTCTCATTAGCATAGCCGCTTCATATGTTCTGCGCATTACTGTTAAAAAATTATAGACAAAGCTAAAGCTTATAGCTAGTTTAGACATGTAAAATGCTTTTATATGCTTTTTAATATTATGATTGATTTAATAATATTAAAAAAAAATATTTTGAAAGTTAGTAGGTTTTCCTGTTTGGATTCATGGTAACAGTAATGAAGAATGCAGTTTCATGTCTAAGTAGAGATTTAAATTTACTTTAGTTTTTTTTTCCATGTTAAATTTAGTTTATACAACATTAACATTTTAGATTAGCAGTGTCTATTTACATGGATGTAAATAATTAACATTGATTCAGTATGGTAAGTCATTGTCAGCTGTCATGGTCTTCCAATGAGTTTTTTAACGTGTGGCTTGTTGACAAGTTGTAGACACAAATTACTTTGAATTTTTATTTCATTTTGAACCCAGATATGGATTTCTTGAGAATAGGTTGATTTATTTTGTTCCCAAATTATTTTCAGATATACTTTAATTCTACCAGTAGTATAGTATAAACAGTTTTTGTATTATACATTGTTAATTATGTTAACTTATCGATTTTTAAAATTTATTACAGAAAAATTACATTTTCTGAAACTGTTATATTTTGTTATACATGTTTCTTATATGGTTGTGATTTATCATAAATGCTTGTTTGCAAATATTAAAAATGTTTTGTTTTATGAAATAATTTAAAAATAATTTAAAATAATCTTTGAAAAAATCTAATTCTAAATTATATTCAGATTTAGTTTATAACTTCCTCTAAGAATTTATATAGATAATGTTATTATAAAACATTTGTTAAAAATACAACTTTTCACCTGAGAATTCAAAATTTGAACAGTCTGAACAGTTCTTGACTTGTGTAAAAAAAACTTGTGATCAATAACATCAGTCATTGGTCTTGTTGTATGAGCTACAAAAACTAGTAAGTGTTAATGCATTCAAAGCTTATTTTATTTTAGAACTTTGTATTTGGATCTATTTTTTTAAAATGATAACAAACAATATATTTGTATAAATTCATAAGATATTACAGATTTCAAACCACTTATTTCTCATGGACAACTGCTTTTTTTTTTTAAATTTGATAATATGAAGTCTTTATTTGAGATAATTTTGCCTCTACTCCAGAACACTATAACATTGTAAAAAAATTATCCTGTTACATTGAAGGTGTTGGATTGATTTCTTAGCTCATTAATCATTAGTTTAATGAATCCCATCTTTAAATTTAAAGTCTGCAATACCTAAAAGTATTCTAGTCATTTATGACTATATTTAAATTTGTTTCTGTAGATTTTAGAAATGGAAATAATATCACAACAGGGTTATAAAATTAGATATTTTGATTTAAGGTTGAGGCTCATTATGTTACTCATGTAAATATGTTATTTCAGTGTTGTGTATTTTTTTTTCCAGAAATCATTTGATAAATATATAAATGTATTGTATTTTGCACTTATTTTACCAAAGATCTGTAACAGTTGAACTTGTTACTTTAATTTCATATGATTTTTATAATGATTTACATATATTTGTTGTCCTAGTCAAATTTAGAGAAAAAAAACACAAAGTTGTTGCATTTATTATACAAACTGTGGTTTTTTTTTCTAAATATTTAAAATTTATTTTAAACCTTTCTAAACAGCTATTGATTGTTCTATTTTGTGTATTTTTTGTATGCTGTTTATGTCTTGCTTTTAATATTCCACTTCCTAAAATTTTAAAAGTTAGTTAGCTTTTATGTTGGAAGTAATTAAAGTTAATTTAATTAAAAATAATGTATCATATTGATGTTCATGTTAAAATGCTAATAATTCTTTTTAATGTCCAGAGAATCATTTTAAGTAATTTTTATCATTTATCTTTAAAGAAAATAGTATTTAGAACAAATTCAGTTTAACTAAAGGGGGATTATACGAAGATGTAATGTTTCATTCTGTGTTGAGTACCAGTAAGTACTCGAGTTTTTGTGTAAATAAAAGATTTTAAAAATGTTTTGTGTTTGTGAAAAAATTAAAACAAAAATAATTGTTTAACAATAATAACAAATTTTAATTATAACACACAGAGGAGAAATGCCAAATATAGATGAATTCCTTTGTAAGAAATCCAAAATAAATTATCCAAATATTGTTAGATGTTAAAGAAATTCTTTAAGAATATCATTACAGACTGACAATCATATTTTGTCCATTTAATCATGTTAATCTCTCAACAAAATATATTTTTAAGTAGACTAATACTAAAACTATTACTGATAATAACATTACTACTCTATAGAAGAAATGCAATTTGCTTAAAGAAAAAGCAAAATGCCTAAATTACATTTGAATTTAAAGTATTTTTATTAACAATAAATGTTAGTGCTTTTATAGCTACATATTATCACATATTTCTTTAATAACAGACCATGCATAATTGACATCTGAGGCCTGAGTACTACTAGCACACACAGCAAATCGCAGAAAATATGTCTCTTTGATCTTTGATGGAACAAGGTGGATTCTGCGATCATTGTTTATCTTCTTTAACAACATTTCATTCAGCTCATTAGACCCCTAGAAAAAACATTTATCAAAGGAATAGTCAATATTCTCTTTATTTCTATCAATTCTTTTTCTTCGTTCTTAATTTTTTGTGTTGAAAGGGATCGAGATTTATCTGCCAGTGGGTTTGAACTCGAGACTTTTTTGAATTTATCAACCATGAGCTTTTTGCAGACTCGACCACACCTCCAACACAATTAAGGATACATGTCAACTGGTTATGCGCCATTGAGGCCATTGACTCTGACTCCGATTTCAGCCTGCTTTTCTTTTTGGATTTGCTTCCATAGCCTTTGTCCAACCAAGAATAAGCTACAAGGCAGCAGTTGTTTGATTTTGGAGTTGTCTCTCCAAGAAGAGTGGCTGTCCCCAGCTAACGAGCCTCATCTGCCCGAGGGTTCGAACTCGAGACTTTTCGGGTTTAGCAACCATGAGCTTTACCGACTCGACCACACCACCTCCTTCTATCAATTGATTTCCTATATTCTTACAAAGCTATAATCCAGAAAAATGCAAACCAGGTACATTGCCACAATTACTCTACAGTCTACACCCCTCTTCTCTATAATCTGAGTTATCCTGGAGCATCAACATGGTGCAAGTATAAACAACAGCATGTAACATGATACAAATAAGCTTAAAACTTACTTTAAGTCGAAAACAAACTAGTCCAAGTGTAACTTTTCGTATTATTTCAAATCTGTGATCACTTTCTACCAGTAACTTAAACTGCTGGGCAAGTGATACATCCTAGAATTGAAATCAAGTGCATACAGGTAAGGTCTTAATTCTTTTTTTACTTTCTCGTATATACGAAGTATAGAGAAAGTCTTGTAATCGTGCAAAAAAAAAAAAAAATCGAGATTTTTACAAATCTCGACGTTTTACATCTCACTGATACGGAAAAACATAATTTTGCAATCTTGTCCGTATGTCTGTGTGTGTGTGTGTAAACACGATAGCTTGAGTAACGTTACAGCTAGGTTGATGAAATTTCATATATAAGTATTTTATCAAAATCGTAGATCCGTATCAATTTTTGAGCGATTTTCGTTAACATAACCGGAAGTGGTACTTTTTCTACTTGCAATTTTTCAAAAGCCTAAAACTTGAGTATTATTTCAGATAGATAAATGAAATTTCACATGTAAGTAAAAGATCTAATTCTCTACCTTCTGTCAAATTTTGAGTAATTTTCGTTGACCGGAAGTACTAATTTACGCTATTTTTGATTTCTCAAAAAACTCATGTAAATTTATAAAGTACTAATAATATTGCGCACTATTATGCACTTTTTTATTTGGCGTTCACTTGGTGTGCAATTCTTTTGTCTACGAGATTTTATTCTATTTTAAAAACTTTAAGTATTTAAAATGGATTAAAAATCATGTCTATAGCCCGAGTTCCCATCCCCTGTTATTTTATATAAGAATATTCGAGAAAGTTTTGGGGAGATCACTCCCGGTTTATTTATCTAAGAAATTTTAAATCTATGTCAACAGTACCAAAAAAAGCCAACAATGTTAGCTATTTTGTAGATATTTATTTTACAAACTCTCTCTAATTATTCTTTGACTTGGCACAACATTGGTGAACACTTATTAAGTCAAAAAAAATGTTTAAATACCTTTCTAATCTGTTCCTGTAACCCTTTAACACCAAACATTCGAAGAACAAACCACAACTTGAGAGATCTAAATCTTCTACCCAATGGGATCTGCCAGTGCTGAATACATATAAATGAATTTAACTATTAAGAAAGTACCCTATCAAATGTGAACATTTCTAAAAATAAGTGGCACACATTGTTACATAGCTCTTGTGATGAGTCATAATTATTACAGTGACCCTGGCCCTTTCTTTACAATGTGGGGCAAAATGATAGCCAAATAACATTTCTATAGTTTCCTATTATTTCAATAAACCAATTGTTTAGAGATTCAAGATGTGCTATCTACACAATACATAATGAAATGATTTATTTCAACAAAAAAAGTTATTGTTCTTCTTTTTCATTTTTAATTGTAATATTGGAAGGGATTTCCTCCAACACAATTAAGTATTATGTGTCAACATGTTATGTGCCTTATGGCCCATTGACTCTAACTTCAGCCTGCTTTTCTTCCTGGATTAGCTTCATAGCTTTTATCCAGCCAAAATCTATCTGCAAGGCAACTGCTGTTTGATTTTGGAGTTTTCTCTCCTAGATGAGTTGCTGCCTCATCTGCCCAAACTCTGGATTATTGGAGTTTGCAACCATAAGATTTCTGTTAAATCTCAGCCAAAAGTTTTGAGCTTGGATCTCAGACTTGAGTCTATAATAGGGTGTCCCAAAGTCCACCCAGCTATCATGAGTTCCTGACACATAGGAAAATAAAGGCACCATCATCCAATAAATATCATTTAGAAATTAAGTTTTGATAATTATTAATATTAGATAAAAATTTAAATACGCAATTTATATCTGTATAAATCTGACTTTTCCTTGCTCAAACATACATTTTATTCACATCTGCAGCTAACAGAACCCTTGCTCCCTCAAAACAGAAGTTTAAAAAAAGTTCCAGTCACCTTTACTCCCTCAAAACAACAATCAAAATTTTCCAATCACCATGGAAAACATTACGATTTAGCTAAAAGAGAAATGTTAATTAAGATGTAAATACCCTGTAGTCTGGCATACAATTTCCCTGGTTTTCATGCTTTAGGTACAAAGGATGAAGTTCAAATGCTCCACTCACAAGATTTCTATCCTTAACCCTAAAAAATATAAAAGGTGAGCACCATAGTATGTCTTTAAAAGATTAATAAGTGAGTAATTGAAAATAATAAAATGAAGTTGAATGTACCTTAGAAATAACTAATGTAAACATATATTTCAAATTTGAAAAACTTACCACATTGCGGAACAATCAAAGTTGACACGTAACCATTTGTGAGGATTAAAGTTAAAGGACATAGAATGCTGCAAACAAAAATACTATAACTCATGCAAGCAAACCCAGCTATAAAAAAAAAAGCTATTTTATATTTTTGAAATATTGAAAATAGTTCTTGCTTTTCACTTAGATAATAGGCATTATGAATAAAAATGAAAATAAATTATTTAAAATATTTAAAGCTAGGATCATCTTTGCTTTACTTTTGAAATTTTTTAGCTCACCTCTCTTATCACTCATTGTCATTATTGTTATAAAAGCCAGAACCATCCCCCCCCCCAAATTAACATTACACCTGTCTACATATCCCTTAAAAATTGTGTTTACGTATTAAAGTGTTACGACCCCCCCCCCCCCCACCCCTTATCACAAAATTCAAAACTCCCCTCCCTCTAGGAATGTGACAATGTTTAAGCATGACCTCTTATGTGCATTAAATAGAAAAAATAAAAATATAATAAAAATGAGTGAAATTAGAGCTTAGCTAAATACATTTTACTGAACTTTGCCTACAAGGTGCTTAAAATGTATTTGTACTTAGTTACATTCTATTCAATAGCTCACCCTTAGTTTTAATTTGCAATTTAAACAAAAGGTAATTAAAACTGCTAAAGTTTATTTATATTTCTTACTTAATTTTCCCCTCACCATTGCAGAAAAATATAAAATTGCTAAGCTTTTCAGATAAATGCTATATTTTAATTTTCAAACACGTCTAGAGGGCTAAGTTCCTATGAAAAAATCAACATTATATCAGACCTCAATTCCATTTAGTGGTTGTCTAAATTCAGGACATATAAAAGCGCTTCCAGCATATGCTGCATCCACATGCATCCATATATTATGCTGATCACCTGCATTGAGAAAGTGATCAGCTTAAGAATTTTAATAAATTTCACTTAACATTTTTTTAAGTGTAGGATAACTGAATAATTTAACAGTTAAATTAGCAAACTTTAGGACAAGCTAATGTAGGATGTCACATTATCTGTTAGTCAAATTAGCAAAATTATATGATGGTTCTAATTAATTTTAAACTAATTATCCTAATAATATATTCTTAGGATAACCTTTGCAAACAAAATTGCTAAGATGATGTTTTTTTTTAAAATCGTTGCCTTCAATGCCTTTTGTTTGAACAGTTTCTATTTGTCCAAATCTGTAACCATTACAATGTATATATGCTGTAAAAGATGATGCACTTACATAGTGGTCCAAGCTCAGACAAGTTATCAAATGAGCAGGTAGATGTTGTGCCTAAAGTTGAACAAAGCTGTAGGTAAAAAAACATTGTTGGAAAACTAATACTCATTTTTTAATCATAGAATACAATAGATACACCTTTAAAAAAATAGATATTAATGATAGCTTTCGATGCACTGAGATTAAAACATGCATAATATAGGGATAACTACCATACATTATCAAAATCTCAAGCCAAACAATATTTAAACATTTTTCAAAATATGAATAAATAATATTAGATAAACAGAGTAGTATATATTATTAAACCTATATATATAACTCTCTTCTGGGAGACGTTAGAAAACAAGCTGCAAGTGCGCCTTGCAGTCCCTTCTCTTCCTCTCTATCACTTCCACCCCACCCCCCACATGGTCTGGTGAGCGGTGGTTCACTCTAAATGTTTACAATCATATAGCCAGGTTTAGTATCTATTAGGGGCAGATAATCTAGTTTGAAATTATTTTAAACTTAGAGGAAGTAACTAAGAGAGGCTGCTTTCACAGGGGGGGGGGGAGGGGTTGGGGGAAAGGGGGGGTAGTGTTTTAAAGCAAATATTTTCAGTGGCAACATTAGTACTGTCAAATTCACAAATTATGAATTACTGAAAAATAGAAAATAAACCAACTAAATAGCAGCGTATGATACGCGGGTCGGCTCGTATTATAAGAAGTGATCCATGACACCCATAAAATTAAAAAGTCTAAAACAGTAAGGACATCAATAAACACCAAAATAAGATTTTCTAGTATAATTTAAATTAAAATTATTTTTTATAACTGTTTTAATGCGATGGGTGAAATTGCATGCTAGCCTCAAAATTTGTGGTTGAGTTTTTGATAACGCCAACCTCATGCAGAAGTGTTTAATTGCAGAAGTGTTGAAAATCCACATTTGCAAAGAAATGTAGACATAAAGGAACTAAAACTCAAAACGCAATCAATTGTCACATTTGGGTATGAATGGTGCATACTACACCAAAATTGTGTGAGCAGATTTTCCTTAAACATGGTACATGCAGCGGAATAATTCAACAAATCAAAGAATTCATCTTGTAACTCATTGGGAATGCTGGCAACATAAAGGGAAGCAGAGAATGGTTTACATGTCAATGCAGTTTCTTCTTTCGACTCAGGGAAATAACGCCGCAGTTCGTTTTCAAGAGTTTCGAGATACCCAGAAATTTTTTCTTTCAAAATTTTATTTATCTCACAATCAGATTCATCTACCACACTGCAGAGTTTCTCAAACATGGCAATATTGCAAAGATTTTTTTTTCTTCCCCAATTTTGCAGCTTTGAGAGAAATGCCCAGAGATTATGAAAAAAGATAATATTCGTTTCTTTTCCCTAAAGCTTCAGGTTAAGCCTATTTTTCTGTTTGAATGTATCTGCTAGGTATGCTACTCTCTCCAACCACTCTTTGTCGTTAAAGTATATCAAAAGGTTTTATTTCCCTTGCACTTCCAAGAACAACTTGAATTCTGACAGCCAGGGTACAGTAGTGTAAAAAAGCATAATCATGTGATCTTTAATCATGTCTTTGCTCAGTTCTTTAAACAAACGGGTGTTTAGGGCTGCAGATTTAATGTAATTTTTAACTTTTATTATCAATTAAATGCCTCTAACAAAGGAGTCAGAAGAGTCTTGCTGGTGAGGGAATGCTTATGAATTATGCGGTGGATTCCCTTTGATTGTAGAGCTAAATCTATTACTATTTTTGAAAGCCCAATTTTGACCCAAGCATAGATGATGCACTATCCGTACAAACCCCAAAGCAGTTTTCCCATTTTAATCTCCCCCTTTTTCAAAAAACGTATTTATTTTCTCCAGGATAGCTTCACTTTTTGTAGTAGTTTCAAGTTCACTACAGAATAGAATCTATTCTTTGATATCATCTGAATGAATATATTTCACAAAGACAAACAACTGCGAACACAAACTCACATCTGTTGATTCATCAATTTGAAAAGCAAACAATGGTGAAAGCTATATTTCGTCCAAAATTTGTTCCTTACCATTTACGGACATGTCTGCTATACGCTGTTGAATAATATTATTAGTCAGCTGTTGAATAATATTATTAGTCAGAGATATTTGTTGCATCTTTACTGCATAGGAATCCCCAAGAATTAATTTCACCAACTTCAACATACAGGGTTTGATGATTTTTCTCCTATTGTGTGAGGGTTTTTTTTTTTGCTTGGCAATTTCTAATGCAACTTCATTTGATTCTTGCACTAATGCTATGTTTGCTTGGTAAAAAGTTCCTGTTTCCATCTAGCCTCATGCAGGCAAAAAACTCCCTATCTGTTTTGGTGTGTTCCGCATGACTCTTTTAAAAAACTAAGAAAAATCTGATAACTTCAATACTTGGTTAATTTTTTAAAATCGTCAGTAGGGAAAACAAATGCTTGCCAGAATCATGGAATTTTGTATGAAAAAGCTCAATCTGAATAAATACTAATAATAAAATTAAAAAATTAGAAAAGTATGTAGAAGGATTATGAATATAATATGAAATTATTGAAACTTCAACACCATTAAAAACTTTTTAAAAAATTAATTGTATGGAGAATTTTTTGTTAGGTTTAGTCTACCAGTTGGCAGGCTGCCCCCTCCCCCAAGAAAGCCCTTAGCGACTTTCCTGGGAATCAAGACACACAGTTTGGGAACTCATGCTATACATGAAACAAATATAAGAATAATTAGGCCTATAATTTATTTAAAGATTAATATAAAAATGTTTTAATTAAAAAATATAATTTAACCAAATGTATCTCCAATTTTTCCTTGACTAATATTTTGTTTGAAGTGTATAAACATATTTTCAGTTTCAGTCTGACATGAATAAATCTATAGGCCCACCAGAATATGTGCTCGTGGGATCACACAATCAACTGACTATAAAAACAGGCAGATAAAAAAGTCATAGGCTAATTATTTAGGTTTAAAATGGGACTTAGTTAACATAAAGAGACTAGGGGAGGGGAGAGGGGAATGAGTGTCATAGGCCCTACTCTAAAAACTAGATCCTCTTTTTTTCTTAATAATAGACTAGTTATAACGCGATCTCAATAAGTTTAATGAACTTGGCAGATGCAAGTTTTTGAAGAAATCGGGCCTTTCAGCAAACAAATATTTAGCCCTGTTCATTCAGGATATAGACAAGCAAAGAAGCTGGGGAAATGGCGACCATGGGGTTGGGGTGGGAAGTGGTGATTGTACTGCGGGATGGGAGGGAGGGGTAATAACATGTGGGTAATGTCTACGACTCGTGGTATTATACATAGCATCATATTAAAAAAACCTGTCTAGCTCCAGTTGCTGGCACTCCAATAAAATTTATAAAATCTTGCATGTTCTCTAATGTTTAGACAATTTATTGTTGAATTGCAAGCCCCGTGGCTACACCATTTTCCTTTTTAAAAAAATAAAGCTGCGTGCCCACTATCTACGTTTTTTTTTTACTCTGATTACTCTTTATTTTAATTATCTGGGCCTATATAGCAGACGCTCCGGGTCAAAGGTCATGCTTGTTTTATAAAATGTTCTATATAACATATTCTGTAAGTGTGAACGCTAAAGTATACATGCTCTGAGGATAAATTGTTCCAGATAAAAATAACTTTTGGTGGGCTTTGTGTTCCAGAAATGTATAGTATACATGTCGTAAGTGAAAACCCAGTGGTAGGATGGAACAAAACTAAACAATCTGACAACTCTTACAAAAAATGGTATTAGCCCCTTTTCTTTGTCCTGCTGAATGGAGCGTTCCAGCACTGTGCCCCTTAGGGAACCATTTTCATCTGAAGGCAATGCTCGTATCTGCACCATGCCAATGAGTGCTGCTCTTTCAACAGACGAATGGGACTGGCAAGATTAAATTGTGAGAGTACAATTGAAAAAATATTAAGTAAATGCTTTTTCCTGAAAACTTGGCCTATAAAAAGTATTGTATTGTATATTGGCCTACACAAAACTCATAGCTAGACTACAATCAAGGATGTCTTGCAAAATTGATATATATATATGTGTATATATATATATGTGTATATATATATGTGTATATATATATATATATATATATATATATATATATATATATATATATATATATATATATATATATATATATATATATATACATACATACATACATATATATATATATATATATATATATATATATATATATATATATATATATATATATATATATATATATATATATATATATATATACATACATATATACATATATATACATATGTATGTATATATATATGTATATATATATATATATATGTATATATATATATGTATGTATATATATATATGTATATATATATATGTATGTATATATATATGTATGTATATATATATGTATATATGTATATGTATATATATATGTATATATGTATATGTATATATATATATGTATATATGTATGTATATATATATGTATATATATATATATATATACATATATATATAGACAGATAGACAGAAAGAAAAGATGATGGAAAACTTCGCAAAGTGTATTTTTGTTTTCTTAATTTGAGCTTTATAGACATTAAAAAAAGAATGTACATTGTAGAATAATAAACCACTTTTTAATAAAATAAGATAAAATTAAAGCGTATTGCACAGTTTTCCAAAACACATTTTTCTGGCAACCATATATATATATATATATATATATATATATATATATATATATATATATATATATATATGTATGTATGTATTGACTTCAACCAGCTTTTATGGATTGATTCACTTAATAGCAAATAAAAGCAGCTGGGCATAGTCCCAACCATTTTCTCCTCATAGGGGTCTTAGAACCGTTTTTTTATTTGCCCGGTGGATCACCAGTTCCAAAAGGGTAACAAATTATTTATGTGTGTATGTAACAAATTATTTATGTGTGTATGTAAATATATATTTGTACACACACATATATACACAAACATACATACATATATATATAAAGAGAGCAGTACATTATCAATTACCCTCCCTTAACCCCCTCCCCCCCATATATAAAAATATTTATCCCTATCCATCTCAATATTGATCTCCCTAGGATTATTTATTTTCAGTGACATAAATTTATTTACTCTATTTAATAATCTACCTCATCAGATGTATATGCAATTAGCTTATCAAGTATTTGTCCTTGTGTTAGGTTTGGGTTTTCTATCTTGAGTTTGTTTATCATTGTAGTTCTTGCAGACAGCAGGGCAACTAATGTAGCTTCACTAGCTGTTCCCTAAATATATTTTTAAAATATTAGTAGAATGAAATGTAGAGAATTATTGAAATATATTGGTTTCATATTTTTATTTATACACACACAATTTTTACAGAATGTCCTATTCAAATAAATTTGAGTAAAATCTTACTTGAATTATACCACCACCATTTCCCTCTTCACTAAAGAGAAATTGTTTTGGTAAATTCAGCATTTTAGCAAGCCAATCCATCATAGAAATTTCCAGCTCAGTGCATGCAGGACTTGAAGCCTGAATACAGATAAAATCCATAGGTTTTTAAAAAGCAAATATTAGTGAATTTAAAAAAGTAATCAAACATCAAACTTATAAATCTAATAGCAACTGTTACAGCACTTTCATTAAAACACAGGGAATATGTTATATTAATGCATGTAATTTGTAATTAGTACAAAATAACCTCTTTCAATTGTATGAAAATGTTTGCCATAGTAGCATTTGGTGAAGAGAACATCATACTCTCTGAATAAGTTAGGCAAGTGGTTTTAGAAGATTTTTTTTATTGTTGTTGGGTGGTAGACTACTCAACGGCTAACCTGCAAAGTCCACACATCTCTCATGAGTACCTGACACATTAGGGAAAATAAAGGCACAGTGCTGATCCCTTCATTTGTTGTGGTGAAGAAATAGACAAGCTCTACAGGAGAGAACTTTCCTTTCTTTTTAATTCTGATACCATGCACACATTTCAAAGTAAGACTGACTTTTACACTGAAAGTGATCCCCAGACAAGCACCAAGAACTATTGTAAGCTACTGCATTGTAACTGGGTTTTTTTTTGGGAAGAATGGAGAGAATTGCACCAAGAATTTTATATTAAAGTACAACTAACAATAGAGATCTGATTAAAAATGGCAGACTTCCACAGGGCTGACATCCAAAAGGCTAAGATTCAAGAAGCTGGATAAACATTATTCTAATTAATTTGATAAAACATTAACTCCAATTTTTATATTTATCATACAGTCTATTCCAATGTTCACTCTAAGCTGAACGGTTGAGTTTCCACGCAGTAGTTTTAAACTGTCGCGCAGTCATTTTCTAAAATACATATATCCTTTTTATAGGACTTTAGAACACTGCAACCACAAAATACAAGTTGCACACTATCTTTTTCTTCTTCTTGGCAGTGATCCGTCTACTTTAGCAGTATACCTCCATTTGTTGGTAAATATGGTTGTATTGGCACCTATCTATGTATCACTTATTTCTAAGACACTCTAACATCCTCGGGTAGATGAGGCTCGTTAGCTGGGCACAGCCACTCTTCTAGGAGAGACAATTCTAAAATCAAACAACTGCTGCCTTGTAGTTTGTTCTTGGCTGGACAAAGGCTATGGAAGCAAATCCAAAAGAGAAAGCAGGCTGAAATCAGAGTCAAAGACCTCAATGGCGCAGAGCCAGTTGGCATGTGTACATAATTGTGTTGGAGGGGATACCTTAGAACACTAAAAATGAGAACGAAGAAGAAGAAGATCTCTAACATTGTCTCTTGGATGACCTCCATGTTGCACTGGGCGGTGACGACAACAGCCTTTGATTTTATTCTTTAATAATTGTCACACCTTACTGAGTTGGCTATGTCATATAGTATATTTTAGGATTTTATCTTTGTGTGCCTTATTGTTTGTAAGTCTGTTTGCCTTTTGGACTTTTTGTCTTATGGTATGTCGACCTTTTATATGCCGACTGTTTGTGCTTGTCCATGAGGGTCCTGGGCCCCTAATAATATGTTAAAGATTGCCTTCATGTTTTTACTTTCTCGTATATACGAAGTATAGAGAAAGTATTGTAATCGTGCACAAAAATCACTTGAAATTTTAACACCGTATTACACCTCAGTCCTTCATCACATCCGAAGTATAGAGGACTTATTTTAATCGGGCAAAAATTATCAATCCAGATTTATCAAAATTAAGAGGTTTTATACGTAATCCAGTCTGAAAAACTGGGCTTTGCAATTCTGTCCGTATGTCTGTGTGTCTGTGTGTGTCTGTCTGTCCGCGTGGAAACATGATAACTTGAGTACCGTTACAGCTAGGTTGATGAAATTTCATATATAAGCATTTTATCAAAATTGTAGATCCGTATCAACTTTTGAGCGATTTCCGATAACCGTTAGTGGTACTTTTTCTACTTTGAATTTTTCAAAAGCCTATAACTTGAGTACTATTTCAGATAGATAAATGAAATTTCACATGTAAGTATAAGATCTAATTCTCTACCTTCTGTCAAATTTTGAGTAATTTCCGTTGTCCGGAAGTACTAAATTACGCTACTTCCGATTTCTCAAAAAACTAATGTAAATTTTTAAAGTACTAATAATATTGCGCACTATTATGCACTTTTTTATTTGGCGTTCACTTGGTGTGCAATCTTTTGTCTACGAGATTTTATTCTATTTTTAAAACTTTAAGTATTTAAAATGGATTAAAAATCATGTCTATAGCCCGAGTTCTCATCCCCTGTTGTTTTATATAAGAATATTTGAGAAAGTTTAGGGGAGATCACTCCCAGTTTATTTTTAGTCATATATGATTATTTTTAAAAAATCATACTAGCAAAATATATTTTAAAGAAAAACTTTTGAAATAATTTACAGAAATTGGGAAGAGGTGAAAAAATTTGTAGATTGAGAGAAAGAGACTCCTTTGATTGGTAAATATAACTTGATATAATAATATTACAAAAAGGACTACAATAGAACTAAATAGATAAAACTACAATTTTAATACAGTTATCTGACGGATGATTTCAACTCACATTTTATGGGGAAAAAAGCAAAAGGTCAGTAAAAGAAAAACTCACCTTCATCATAAGTGAAAAAAAAGGCAAGTGATTATTTAATTTTTTTTTAAAGATGTAGATATAGTGTAAAAAAATAATTTAAAAAACTACTAAACTAAGCACCATTACTGCAGTTTTTTAATTTGATAGTAATCTATTAGGCCCATAAAATTTGTAGCCTATATATAGTGTGAGGTCCATCCATTACTCATGGAAAAGGAATTTTCTGAACCGAAAGTTGAAAGAGTGAACTATTTCTGTCTAATGTATTCACTACTACTCAATTTAAGTAAACCGTTTACTGATATTTAGACACAACAAGTGAGTCCACTAACCCAAGAGAATCCAATGCATCCAATTGCATCTGACAACATATCTCCCAAAATTGCTGGGTATGAATTACCCGTTGGAAAATAAGCATGAAAATGTGGACTGTGCCAGTGGGTTACCTATACAATAAACATTTAAAAAGTATTATAGTAAATAATATAATGTATAATATATATATATATATATATATATATATATATATATATATATATATATATATATATATATATATATATATATATATATATATATATATATATATATATATATACATAATTATATATACTCACACACATAGTGTGTCAGTCCGAAACCTTTAAGGTAGGGTTTTTTTATATAACAACTTAAATTAATTTTATAGCTGCCACAGTTTCTGCTATTTCGCAAACGTGAAGAAAATATTAAATACCTGCATATTGCTAAAACATATTAAATGGATGAATGTCAAATAATTTTATTGCTTATATTCCTAGAAAAATTGGATACATTTTAATAACAGTAGGATCAAAAAACTAATTAATCAAATTATTTACCATGGAAGGTAATTTAAAAAGAAATTCAACTAACAGTAAAAAAAAAATGTAAATGCAAATTCCGCTGACGTGCAAGGGGGCAATATTGTTGGAATATTATTATTAGCATGGATTGATAAAAGGATATCTTTTATTTATTTTATTCACTGAATGTACTGTTTACTAATGATAATTTTTGATCAACTATTCCACAACATTATACACGTATCATCACGTTCAATAGGTGCGCAATGGTTTAAGTAATGAAACTCTATTGTGAATTTTTTTAAATTTAAAGAGCTGAAAAAAAAAATGCATGAATTGATAAAATTGATATGGAAGGTAAAACACGGATATTTTAAATACTGCCTTTTAATTTATTTTATACACAGAACGTACTGTTGTGTTTAGTTTTGTTCTGTTCCCAAGTTGGTACATTTAAAAGATTTAAATATATAATGCATATATATATATATATATATATATATATATATATATATATATATATATATATATATATATATATATATATATATATATATATTTATATTTATATATATATATATATATATATATATATATATATATATATATATATATATATATATATATATATATATATATATATACATACATATTTATATATGTATGTATATGTATGTATATATATATATATATATATATATATATATATATATATATATATAT